AAAAAAAAAAAAAAAAAAAAAAAAAAAAGGGCACTCGGTTCCAGTGGGCAGTCTCTGCAAACGCTTTGGGTAGGGAAGGAGAGTCTCATAACAATCTAGAGGAACTTGGTTCCCCCAGCCGCATTGATCCTGGTGCAGACCGTAGTAGGTCTGTGCAAGTAGGCAACGACTGGTAGCAAAGCTTAGTCATAGACAGACGAGAGAAGGGACAATGTAGGAAAAGTATAACTAGCCCGGTAGCCCTTTATTTTGTGGTCTCTTTTTACTTTGGTTGGCTATTTGCATATAAGCCAAGCTGGCTAAGGCTGCCAGAGGTTACTCCGGGAGGAATTGTGGGGACACCGGGGCCAAGTCCCACTAGCAACGTTGAGGTACCTCAACGCCTGAATCTGGACGTGTTTGTGGAGACGTGCAGTTCAGGAAACTCAACACCATTTCTGCACACATCTCCGCAAAAGCGTCCTTTGAGGTAGCTCAACGCTGCTAGTGGGACTTGGCCCCCGGCCCCGACTGCATAACTGTTTGTAATGAAATGTCAACAAGGTTTGTTAAAAAGAAAAAAGAGAAAAAAAAGAATGCCCCTGTTCGGTTGTTCTGCACAAGCTTTTTGGTTCTTTCCCTCCCCCCTCCCCCCTCCTCTTTCCCCTTCCTCTCGCTGTTCCTCTCCCCCCTCCCCCCCCTCCCTCACCTGCTCTTGTTCTACAGTCCTACCCCTGTTCTACGGTTAATTAGCTTAGGAGTAATAGCCCTTATTCCATTTCATGTGCGCCAGTTTCGTTCCTATCCTCAACCAGGACACTCGGTTAGTTCACAGGCCACAGTAGGCCCCCAGCTGTGTGGCTGAGGGGTGGATTGAGGAGAGTGCCAAGCTTCGAAGGAGCCAGAGATTCTGGATCCGACCGGCCGCTGTTCAGGCTGGTTCAGGCGGTTTACTTTTAGGCCCTTGCCCACATACCGTTCCCTCCTTACAATATTACCCTTCCCCTTGCCTACCTACTTCTCACTCCCAACCTCTTCCATTTTCCCCACTCTCTGTCATTCAGCCCACTCTATCCTGCTCTATGTCATTCTCTCCCTTCTACACCTGGTCCACCTCTTTCTCTCCTCTTCCCTTCCTCTTTCCCCCTTATTTCCGCCCCCCCTCTTCCCCCCAGCCATGCCCAGCCTAAACCCCGACCCTACCTCTTCATAATTTAGACCCTGTTCACTCTGTGTCATTCCTTCCCCTCTTGTACTAGTGTAGATCAAGCATAGCTTCAGGTATTCAATCTCATGACAATTTGATGACTTTCGGTTCCTTTTGGTGCCGTAAAAAGCGAAACTGGCTAATGCCGCCAGAGGTTTTCACTCCGGGTTGAATTGTGGGGACCCCAGCCCCGGCTATATTCGTTTTTTTGAAATCAAACAAACATCCCCCCTATCCTTCCCCCCCTCGCTCCCCCCACAAAACAAAGAACATGGAAAGATGCACCGCCGAATTTTGTGCCTTTTGTGCATGTGGAGAGTAGTGCAGCGAGGCCCGTAATTGCACCCTTCTCACTGTATTGGACTGGAGAGATGGCTTGTATGCATGGATTCATGATAGGGGTGAGTTGTGTTTTGAGGAAGGGGGTAGGGTGTGTGATCCATGAGCAGCTGGGTGTTGAGGTGGGAAATTGAAGACACTCTTTGTGTTGTGAGCATTAATGTGGTCATTTAGGCCGTCCAAGGGGCCTCGACGCCTCCCTGCACTAGTCTCGAAATGTGCAAAACGAGAGTGAATCTTCACAACTTCGCAAGAAACAGGGAGAGATACACCCCCATGATTTTTGCTTTTTGTGCATGTCGAGAGTAGTGCAGCTATGCCCAAGTTCTTTTCTTTTTTTTTTTCTTCTTTTTTTTTAATGCCCAAGTTCTGTCCTTCATATGCGCTATGGACCCTCTCATGTTCTGTTCCAGAGGAACCTGAGGCACTGGGCCGCGCTGCAGTACTCACCAAATGTGCAAAAGCAGACTGAATCTTCCACTACCACATGAGAGATAGCCGGCCATGGTTTGTCTTTTGTGCGAGTAATGGAGGGAGGCCCACTGTTTCCTCAAAACGACCTTCCAAAAAATTAACCCACCAGTACCTTTGGCGTCCGGTTTCAACAAGTCCTGGCCAGTACCCGAACTTTCAGGAGGCCGAGCCCGACGTTGATCAATCTGATCGGCGTCCTGAAAGGTCGGAGGCCGAGTATTTACGAACCGACAAGAAAAATTTAATAAGACCTTGTCGATTTCAACCTTTCTTGCGACCATCCAAAGGGCAAATTGAATGCCATTGCGTCTAAAGAGGGAGAACCCGGAGAAGCCTAATGCGGCTTACCCCTCCGGGGACAAGGTCCCACTTGCACGGATTAAGAGATTCTGGCCGTTGATCTTTGCCATCTACGGTCAATATCGCGTTATTCGTGTAAGTGGGACCTAGCCCCGGGTCGAAGAAAGCCTGATAAAAAACGGCCGACTGCAGCAGCAGCTGCCTCCCTACCAGTCTTATCCTAGAGCCAAAGCTATGAAGGATTCAGCCACTACGGACGTGGCCGCACCGGACACGGAACGAAAAAACGAAACGAGTGCATCTTCTTGCAGAAAATGGCAAGGTTCATCGGTTTGCTATAGATGCTCTCGTTTCGTTTCCGTTTCGTGTGCTGTGCGGCGAGACCGTAAGTCTTGCAGATTATCAACTTTCTATCTGTAGTGACTGCTGCTATCTGTTTGCCTCGTGCCCATGTCTTTCTTTTTTTTTTGACATGGGCACAACACCCTCGGCTTTTTTTTTTTTTTTTGAATAAAAGCCGAGGGTGTTGTGCCCATGTCTTCAGGAGCCAGGTAAAACCCTTTTTTTTTTTTTTTTTTTGCTTATGAAGAGGCCTTGCCAATCCGCCCAAATCATACTTGGTATGCTGCTTCGTACTTGCTGCTGTTG